TTTCCCTTTCCAATTCCACGGTCAATTTTTCTACCGGGTCGCGTAATCCTTCTCCACGCCGCCGTGGCAGCCGAATCATTCCATTTAATCTCTCGTTGAGTGTTTGATATCGTTTCGAGGAGAGACAGGAGCACTTTGCGTTTGCCTGGTACGAGTGCAGCTTGGCGGATTAACCCGCTTTCTTTTTCGTTCTCTCGCTGTTCCGCTGCGGCAAATTAAAAGATTAAAAGCGCGGAAGATGTAATTGACCGATCGTCGAGAGGCCGGGGCGAAGATGTAGCGACGGAAGGCAGAAGTGGCTGAGGGTCAGGAATGTCCATTATGGAGGGATTATATATTTCGCCCGGACAAACATCAAGAATTCAATCTCACGGTGAAAGCACTCGTATCCCTCGTTACCAGGTGCCTAAACTTTATGATGGACATAAAGACGTATAAAGGCATGATCCTATCGCCTGGGACGGATCTACTTTTCCCCTCTATCCGTGCTTCACGGCCAATTCCGACTACGAGCAATGCCATCGTCCAACGGCAACCTCGACGGATTATCCCCGTTGATGGCACTTCTCGCGATAGGCTTGCTCGCTTTTAAATACGAGCAAGCTCGCCGCGGTACGCGAAACTAGACACCGAGTCGCTTCGCCGGGAATAAAAGTCACGATGCATTACATGGCTCGCCTATTTACGTCCTATGGTCGTTTGCGGTGTAAGTTTTATAAATTCCGCCCCTCGTCGATATTTCAAGAGGGCAACTGTACGCTGCGAAACGTGCGAAAGAGCCCTCGCATTTACACGGTTACCTTTTGTTCCAATTCGCCCGCATTGCGTCAACCTTTTTCTCCGACTTCTTGTTACGGAGAACAATTCGAATTCCTTTTCAGAATACGTTATACGAATCGTGCACCGTGGTCGAATGCATTCTAGAATTATGTTAAAAAATATGGATTCCTGTAAGGCGGAAAAATTTCCGAAAATTGCCACGCTGAGAGTTTAAATCCTTCCAAGCTAGCGAAGGGTCAACGAGGTCGTTAGAAGGTCACCGGGTCATCGAGGTGGTCGAGATCTTTCCAAGTTCACGGGATCGTGGTTCGGTGATTCGAAGATCGAGAGGACAAAGGCGATCGGAATCGCGACTTCGACGATCGGAAAGCTCCTCGAAAATCACTGCGAGCATTTAGAGTTGTCAGAGTGGCAATTGATAGTCCGTAGGAAAAAATTGGAAGCGAATTGCAGGAGGATAAGGCGCTCTTAAAACGAACGATTCGACAGCCACGGCAATATCAGGGTTGAACGAACAGAATAATAGATAATTTATCGAATAAACGCGAATCACCCGAAGGTAGAATTTCCCATAATGCCTGCTAGTCGGTGTACGGTCCCACGATCAATTCCGGTCACGAGCTGTGCAATCATCCTGTGTCACAGTCCGAGGAATTATTCCGACCAAGGGCATTTCTTGCTTACTCTCAGGTACGCGGAATCAAGCTAGGGACGGCGCACGGCAATTACCGATCGTTATTGACGTAGTACATTTACCCGGCTGTAATACGTGTACGATATTTACAGGGCAGTTACTAGCTTCCGAAAGTTACTAAACTGCAATCGCAACTCGATAGTTACACTTTCGCGAACTTTCCCACCGAGCTAATGAATAGCCAGGATGGTTTAACTCGAGTGCGTCGATATCATTTTGAGAAATTCGTCGGTTGCGCACAATACGAAGTGCATCCTCTAGCCAGGACCTCGCCTGAACTTTTTCCTCTCTTTTCCTGTTTTTCCCCTGTTTTTCTCCCTTCTGCCGGTATCGGGGAACGTTTGAGGGCGACGCGAGACTCTCGGAGACAGCCATTTTCCTCGGCACGGCTAAGAGGATACAAGACGGATCGATGGACACGTAGAACGGGAAGAGTTAATGACCATGGCAAAGCGGACATCGGCTATTGCCATAGATAGAAAATACTGTGACTAATGGGAGCGTTAGTACTCGTAACGCCGGGACAGTAGTTACTGACCGTAATAGACAGACAATGGCAGAGGCCGGGGAGCCCGATATTACATGGAAGGGAATAGCGAGCGTCATGAGCAGACACAGCGCTTATTTCTTCCTTCGAGCAATATCAAGGTGGCTTATTTCGAAGAAATCGTTGCCGCTGCCGCGATAGATCCGATAGTTGCGAATTATTGTACACACAGAGAAGCACCGACGATTAATTAAAATCTGGACCCGTAACCGCGCGCATTTGTCGATAGAACGAGGTACATATATATATAAAACGAACTAAATTACTTCCCCTTCGTTTTTCATCGAGCGATTTTTACCCTGAGAGGAAGAACGTTTCCAATTTCGCGGGGAACAAACGATGAAAAATTCGATCCGCGATAAAGGCAGGCCATGCATTCCGCTCGCGGTAACTTGAAATTTTAGCTGTTCCACGCAAAAAGGCACAGAGTCGGGATCCCTTGTCGTCAGAGACAGATCCTTCTTTTTCCTGCTTCCATTTTCATGACCAATTCTCGCCAGGGGCGAAGGATCATTCTTGTTAACGAGACTTTTTGCCGGCCTTCCAGGTGTCGTGGATCAAGCGGAAGAACGTTCAGGAGTTACTGACCGTAGGACTGACAGCGTACGCCATCGACGAGCGGTTCCAGGCAATTCATTTCCACCACAGCGAGGATTGGACTCTTCAAATAAAATACGTTCAACTGAGGGATGCTGGATTGTACCAGTGCCAAGTATCCACCCATCCACCCACGAGTATATTTCTGTTCCTCGAGGTTGTCGGTAAGCGTGATATTAAACACCGATAGAAGTTATTTGCGTGTGGCCTCTGTCCGATTTTCGGCCATCGCGTATAACGACCGTCACGGTCTGCCCAATTTTTACCCACGCTACTCGCTTTTTTCCTTTCCTTTTAATGCGCTTGCAGCGTCTCGCACGCATAACCATCGAAATCCCGTCGAGCCTCCGTCTCTCTCTCTCTCTCTCTCCCCCTCTCTCTGGCGGGTCAGCAGGAGCAGGAAATAAACGAAATTCTAGTTTATTTCATCGCACAGTTAATGAAATTGAAATAAACGTTTCAAAAAGAGCTTTTTTCGTCGTTGTTCGTGCTCGCGTTTGCGATGATATTCGACAACGCGGAACAAGCATTGGGAAAATATCGTTTCGATTACGCGTATCGATTCGTTACGTCCGTTTTCCCTTTTTTATTTTTTTTATTCTTTTTTTCTTTTTTCTTTTTTTATCATCGACGTACACGGTGCAATCGGGGCACGAGCTGTCCGTTTATGCGAGCTTCGCACATGTCTCCCTGTACACGTATAGCTAACACGTAGACGCGCGTACGTGATGCGTGCCTCGGTTCTTTCTCCGCTAATATCGTCCTTTTCTTCAGTGTCGCATTTCGCGTTTCACCGTGACCGGCTCGCAATTACGTCAACTGCAATAACGAATATTACGTAGAACGGGAACACGGTTAAACCTTGCAAATACGAGAGAGACCGAAACGCGTGTTCCTTTTGTTGCACAGCCCTGTGAGCGCGCGAGCTCGAAAAGTAGCAATGCTTTCTCCGAAAGGGGGCACGTAAAGAGCATCGTCGCTACTTAGAGACAGTACACTTTTGTCCGGTTTCCTGATAAGAGACCCAACACCGGAATATCTATAGCGAAAACGCTTTTTCCTTATACACTGCCTGTGAAAGAGGAAGACAGCAGTTTAAGAATTCTCTCCTTTATCGGATCGTCCCTTTTTACCCGTTTTCCTTTCCTCCTTACTCTTCCTCTCGCTTCTTCGCGCTCGTCCCAGCTGCCTCGAACGTTCACTATATCACCGCTCCTTTCTTTTCTCTAGCTACGAATTAAGTGTTTACATTTTCATTCCTATTTATGCAGGCTCCACGTGTCCACGCGATCGGGCTCCAGGGCTCCCTCTAAGGGCTGCGGAGCACTTTTATCTGGATTTTATTAAGCAGGCGGCCGATCAATAGCGAGAAAACGCTTTTTATCAGACGCAGGAGGCAGAAGTTTCGTGAATTACGACGTTCGGTCCCGGCGTCGCCGTTTTAAGCGACGCTACCCTCTTCCTTCCCCTCTGTCTCTGCCTTTTTCGTGTATTTGCATTTAGATTCCAGGTTTTGGAAGTACGCTCCCACTGTATCTACGTTCATATATCCGTACACGTGTATATATATATATATATGTATATTTATATATCTGTACGTATATTTCGCACGCGAACGTACGCGCGTGTACGAATGGGGGTGCATGCGCGAGTGTGCGTGTGTCGGCGCGCGAGTCACTTTCTATCTAATTTTGCCCTGGTTTCCGGAATGGTGTTTTTGTCGTGACATCTGACGGATACGTACGAGAGTCTTTCTCAGGTACTTTTAATATTTATGCCCTCTCGCCGGCTCACCCCCCCCCCCCCCCAGTGTAATATTTACGTTCCTTCTTGCACGCTTGAAATTCATGGGCCGAGATTTTTCTGATCCGAGGATGATATATAACGTGATCGCCGTTGGGACGTTTCGATTATAGCATTTTATACACTGCTAAATGGTTACGATGGTTTATTACGGCAGACAGGGACGAATGTTTCGCGGTACAGCGGACGAAATATCCCGGATTTCGATGACCGATTCCCGCCCCGGTATCCCGGTGTGAAATCGATTCGTTAATTACCCTGACCCCACTGATTTAATACGATTTTAAAGACTCCCGATTGGAAGCTATTTTTTCGATAAATTATTACCAGCCATTCATTCGATCTTCGTCGCTGGCCACTTTCGTTCCAAGGATTTAAAAAGATGTCAATGATAAAATGCCAGGGTACTCGGGACTTATAAAGGAGTTTGATCGTTTCCCGTTCCAGGTAGTTTCCCCGGCAAATTTCCCAAACACTCCTCGAGATATCGTATCGCAGTTTCAATAAAGGATACTTCCGACGTGAATTGCCGGTATTTCGTGTTAGATTTCCACGCCGCACTCCACGAGGAGACGTCCTTTATCGCCTTTGCTTCGAGAAAACTGCGAAAAAATCAATTGCCGCCGAGCGTCTGACTATACACGCGCTCGTTCCCCTTTCGCGTAGTCCCGCGTGCACGGCGGACGAGTTGCAAAGACGAGTCGCGGGTTAACGCGATTAATCGATTAATTCTGGTTAATCGAATCAGGACTCGCAGGACGTTTCCCTCGGCCTCCGATTATTAACGATTCGCCCTCGTTACAAGCAGACTCGGCTGAAAGGAAGAGAAAAGAAATTGGATTACGTTGCTTGCTCGTCTAATTAAAACGCGATCGAGGAGAATGGATCGAGCCCTCTCACGAATCAACGCTATGCGCGTTCGTGAGTGGCTCCGTGGCTGAAAATCAGATTGGATTACCGGAGAATAAGAAGTTGGTAAAGACGTATTTAACGAGGGCATCGGTTCGGAAGGAATTTAGCATCCCTGGCAACTTCGGGGTCGATAACAATCGGCCGCATTGTCGCCGAAACGAAGACGGTTCGGAAAGTTGACCCTAATGACGTCTCGTTAAGGCGTAATTAGACGGATCAGACCGGCGAGAAAAGGGAAATAATAATAATATCCCACGTCCGGTGATAAATAAGTCGCTTCCGACACGGAGGTACGTCGACCTTTGCAAGTATGCGCGCGCGGGCGCGCCTATCTGATCTAATTTTAATCGTCCGATATTGCTACATCACCCTTAAAACTTTCAGCGCAGACCAGAGAGAAGGGATTAGATCACGACGCGTATAATAACCTGCTCAATTTCCAGCGAGCTATCCAGTCTCGAGTCACGATTTCTTTCTCACCTGTTAATCGAGGAATTAAATTACGAAACAGATACCCGGCTAATTCGATCGACGTAATCGAATGCTCGAAAAGCGAGGAAAGGATTGGAATAGCGGTTGAAAAAGGGAAAGAGGGGGAAAGGAAAAAAGGAAAATAATAGCCGAGAGCGAAATGGAGGAGGAGAGAGTATCAGAGAGCGAATCGGGAGTGCAAAAATTGGTCAATCCGGTGAAGCGTATAAACAAAGCGCAATCGTTTTAACGAGTCGGTTAAAATTCGGGTATCGGATCCGCGAGGAAATCGCAGAGCAATAGAAACGGGAAATCGCTGGAATCCCGAGCGTATTTGAATCGTGACGTTTTAACAAATTTCACACAGCTCCGCCTGGTCCTCTACAAAATTTCGTTTCATTCGTACACGGGGGTGCGTACACGCGGATACGCGCAACGCGCTCTTTCGCGCCTAGGCTAGGAGACTGAATGGCCGATCGGGAGAAAGACAGAAGCACTTGGAGCGTGGTCTGTTCAAAAGAGCGTGCCCGTATCACGCAGAGAAGCGCTTAAAACTCGATCCACGCTGCCGTTCACGCGCGTTCGCCCGTGACACGAGACGTGGAACGGAAGCCCTGTCGCCGGGGGTTGAAGGCGGATGGGCAAAAGTGTATCCGGCGGGGGCTGGCGAAGGTTTTGCCTCGTGTTTACAGCGTTTCGTCACACCTGATCCTATAGCGGAGCCACGAGTGCCGTGTCAGTCCGCGTCGGTGAGCGAACAAGGCGGACACGACGGCTCGAGTAAACGAAAAGGTAGCCGGATAGTCCGGTGGATGGAGAGACGTCGTATTCGTGGTACGATGAAGGGTAACTTAAAATTCTTGGAGCCGTGTCAGCTTGTAAGAGAGATAGCACAAAGGTTGCCTGGTCCATGAGACGGTTGAAAGAACAAGGTAGGGGGAGAAATGGAGGAAGAAAGAGCGAGTGTGAGAGAGAGAGAGAGAGAGAGAGAGAGAGAGAGAGAGAGAGGGAGTGAGTGGGATTTCGTACGCTATCCCCGTACAACCCTTAACCAGCCACGATGCATACCTCATCCTTCCTACTGCTCATAACCGCCTTGGACCCTAGTAAACAATATGGGATAGAACGGTAAGCTGCTCACGTCTGACGCGTCACGTTCTGCCATTTGCAGAGGCCAGAGCAGAGATAGCTGGTCCCCCGGAGAAGTTCGTGAGGCCAGGTAGCACCCTACAGCTTCACTGCCAGATAAAAAAATCGACCGAGACGCCATCCTATCTGTTCTGGTATCATAACTTCCGGATGATCAACTACGACGTGGATCAGGGGGTGAACGTGAGTACCGATCTGGCGGGTCGCGAGAGTTGGCTGGAGGTGCCCCGTGCGTCCGATCGGCATATTACACCTGCGAGGCGAGCAACGCGCAACCTGCGTGGATCCTGGTGCACGTGTTCAAGGGAGATAATCCAGCCGCGATGCAGCACAGCATCGCATCGTCGCCATCTGTCATGGCTTGCAGCGCGCTATTGATGATGTTCACCGCGTTCAAGCTGCTGCTGCATTCCGTCGCTACGAACTGACCGTCGTGTTGCGCCGCGTGTGCCATTGGAAATATAGAAAAATGAACGTGTGATATTTCAGAATGGAAAAAGATGAAATGGAGTAATTCGATAGGTGAAACGAGGATAAATGTCGTGGAAGTTGCGCGTGTTTTATGGCGTTGCAGGTGCAGCTCGTTCCGACCGAGATTACATCCCCTGGAGACTCTGCTGCTCTGGCCGGACTTGGAATCGCTAACCTTTGATCTTGGAAAGGTGAGCGACGTTACCGTGATACGCGTTACTACGTAATTCTTAAGGGACACAGCATGCAACCGAATAAGCCGTGGAGCGTTGAAGACGCGCGCGTACGACCATCGCTGTCGTTGTCGTCGTCGTTTTCGTCGTGTGTGAGCAGAGAAAACGAGACGAAAGTATGTAACGAGCTAGAGGGATGATACGCCTGTGTGTAAGATAACGAAACGGATCTGGTTGCGGATCGTTTGGGTCGCGAGTGTTCGAGCTGCTACTCGGAACGACGCTCACGTATTCGTTGTATCGCGCGAAGATAACGAAGAATCGACGGGTGAGACGAAACCCCGATCGTTCTTAAACGAACGCAAATTTCGGCAGCTTCGTCGACGTATTCTCGCACGTGTTTGCTCAAAAGTTGGCACTTTGCGCGACTCGCCGCCACCTCTGTTAACCGTTGTGATACGTGTAAATGTGTAAGCTGTGTGTAACTATCACGATCGTAGAAGCGTAATTGTGTAATCTGTCCTGCGACGAGTGGCACGATTAATGGCGATAATCCTGTCGCGATCCGACGCATTTTGCCGGTCGAAACTTTCCAACGATGTTCCCCGGATCTGGTAGCGACAACTTTATTTGCTCGTCGGGGTGTTAACTATCTCTCTCTCTCTCGTTCTCCGCTCGGGAAATTTGTTACGTTAATGGCAGCGATGAGAGATCGCCAGTTTCGCGCCCCTTTCGGTTGCTCGCCAACGTTTCCGCAAGTTTGCAAAAACAAATGGCAAACGGGGAAAGATATAAGGGACAAATAGCACCGCGACAGATTGCACGCTCCGATCGGCGAGAATCGGATCGCCGATATCGAATTAAAAGGGACGAAGTTTGCCGTGATATAATGGAATATTGCATATTCGGCCTACACGTACAGGTGCGCGTAATTAATCGTGATAATCCCGGCGTAATGCAGCACAGCCTAACGACATTATCTTCTATTGCCTTGCCCCGCACAAACGACCTTGCTCATAATGTCCAAATTAGTTCTATCTGACGTCCACGAAATGACCGTGCTCAGGTGTACCTACACCGCAGCGAGAATCGGCGCTTATTGTTGCCGGACTATGGAAGATTGTTACAGAGTATCGTGAATCGTTTGCGAGCGCGATGGAGCGCGTTTTTAGCGTTTTCGTATTTAGAGTGTCGCGTTAGAGCGAGATTATCCCTGTTAAACCCAAAAGTCGATCGTGCCAATCGCGTGTCGGTATTTCGTTCTCGAATCGTTCGTTTCATCGAGTCGTGTTATTGTACATATATTTTCTATGTTGGTTGATCTATAAATTATACGTGATATCCCGTGTAGAGGATCGTTTTCGTTATCCCTTGAGAAGAACGCGAGTCGATCTTCTTGGACCACGATGTTTCGCGACGTTAGTATTGCCGCATGTTTCCAGGCTAATCCACTATTTCCTAGGTAGACAGCTGTTTCACGTATCCGTACACATTGTCGACGAGGATAATTCACTCTCCGCAAATAATAAACCCGATGACATTACCGAAACGATGTGTCCGGATCTCGACGCGAGCAAACGGAAAACTCGCATGGACAACGTCCAGGGTACACATCGAGGATACACCACGTTAGATAGATCGATCATGATTACTCGATCGATGAATTATCGGTAATATTTCTCCGAGCGTACATCATTCGACGAGATGTTTGATTTATGTAAGTTAAAGAGATGGATAATTTAATGTGATGTTCGATGATATAGTCGCTGTCTGTTGTATGTACATACGTATACATAACATATACATATATACATATGAATATATATATATATATAATATATAAATATGTTACGAACGTCGCACAATGTTAATCTCATTTACGGTTGAATAAAGTTTTCATATAAATTCCACTCGACTTTGAAGATCGTAGGCGAGGAAAGTTATTCACGACTCACGCAGCGACGATAGACCATACATTCGACCCCCTTTTTCGACACCCTCGAACACTCCATATTTTACATTTTTTCTTCCCTTTTTTCTTTTTTTCCCCTTTTTGTTTCTCCTTGCACCGGCACATCGCCGGGCCAATGTTTTCTCTAAATTTTTGCAAATCGATACTCGCGGACCGGTCAAACCGGGCGTGGGACAGATGTAAGTAAAGAATTATGCCCCGACTGCGTGTTTTGCGACACAATAGTCGGTATTTTCGTTCCTGTGTAATATAACCAGGGCTCTTTATCGAAGTAAAATACTAACGGAATGCGATGGGTTCATGGTGCATAAGCATTTTCATTCATATCTCTCTAGCTTCACCCCCTCTCCCTCCCTCTTTCTCCGTGATTCTCCACCTCTCTGGAGATAGAGAATAATTTCGCCGTGACACAGTTCGAGCCTCGGTCTCCGATAATAGCTGCATGCTAATGGCATTGTTTGCCACATTAAAATTACCACTCCGCTCAATCAGCACTAATTGATTATTACGCCGCATCGAAACTATTCAAGAATTATGATCGCATTAATTGACGTAGAGTGGCTGTTCAAACGGTCCGTTTACCGCAGTGGAAAAACGTGCGGTCGTTGAAAGGGGTGCACCGTTTCTATTACCCTGCCGAGCCCGCGTCGCAGGAGCGAGTCCAGGAACGGGCACGGGAACGCAAACGGGCCGATTTATCGCGTATTATCCGCGCCCATCGTATAGGTGGAACACGATCGAAACTAAATTTCGCCATCTCGACTCGAGTGTATCTCCACTGAAGATGGTTTTAATCGGCACTCGATTCCGTTTACCATATGCACACCGTCAAACGGGCCCGATCGAGAGGTTCGATACCGAACTGCGATGCGAACGCGAATTACCTGTACCTTCCCGTACAGTGATTTCACCTTCCTGCTCGAGTTTCCCGGAATGTTACACCGTGCCGGAGAATATACGCGCTTCCCTCCGGTATATTCGGACATCGAATTTCCAAATTGAAACATTCGCTTGGCTGAGAACGGTTAAAACTGGGCAAAGTCCTTCTGTAGCCACGGTATCGCGTTGCTCGGGAAAATTGCTCGGCGTCGCATCGCGAGAGATAGGCAGGAGTACGCAATTATAAAAGCGTGGTGGAAGTCGGCTAAAGAAATTTCGTTTAATCGTTTTGCTTTCTTTCTTCTTCATTCAGAGGAACCATTTCCCGTTGACCCGATTTAAGGTGGCGCGATTCGACGTCGGCTCGCAATCAGCAGCCGGCATTCGGCCGTGCTAAATTTGAATCGTTAATATCGTGTACCAACAGCCAGCAGATCTGGACGTCATTATTCCAGAAAGATGACTCTAATCTATACCAGCCGTCTCTCGTCAACCAGGCAACACCGATCGCGCCGTTTCCGATTCGCGTCTTCGACGAGGAATTATTTCGTGCCGGATCAACGACGCTTCCATCCCGAGTCGTGTATACGTATATGCAGCACGAGTGTCTTCCTTCTTCGAGCTGGATCGCTCGGTTCGAACGGGTATCCTCCTTCGAGGCGACTGTGGGGTGTTTAAAGGGCCAGAGCTTAGTCTCGCTTCGCGTTAGGGGTTAGAACGCGAACGAGTCGCGGAAAGTTTCGGCTTTGGAACAGGACCGTGCCTAGAGTGTGTAATCGGATTACGAAAGACGAGTGAGTGTTCGCAAAAGAGGTAGACGCTAAATCGAAGGCGAAACACTCGCTTATCGGTGAAACCGTCGATAGATCTTGGCGGACGTTTTCCATCGGAGCGAATCGATTACGGGTTTGTCTTGCCCCCCTATTTCTCTTCCTTCGCTTTACATACGCGGCATACATCGGTAATTCGAAGCGGTGACCGCACCACCGTTGCTCATTTTACAACCTCATCGATATGCAAGCAATCCTTTAGCCCGGGGATGAGGCGCACGTCCAGGCGAAATGATTCCGTAACGATGATCAATCAGAAAGCCGACCCAGTGACCGAAAGCACTCCTCGATGTATTCGAGTAATTTTCAGAGGGTACCGGCCGAGTTACCGGTAAAATTAAATGGAAATTCTGCTAATGCCTGTCCATTCTTTAGCTAGCCGCGGTGGCATCGATGCAGGCCGTGTTTCACCTCGTAATTCAAAACTGCGTTCCCGATCGCGTGCATCTGGTTTTTCGATGGATCTCGCGTAGCTACTTGTATCGATTCCGATGCGGCGTGCCCGGTGGAAGGGAAAGGAGATGCGTGTGAAAACAGGGACGAAGATTGATGCGCGAACGTGGAACGGAGCTAACGAATTAGAAGTCCGCAGCGTCAAAACCTGGAAAGTGTAGGAGACGTCCCTGGAGGTAATCCGAGTTGGTAACTGCTTCAAGTTTTAATGCACTTAGACAGCAATTCTGGTAAAGGCTATTCAAACTTTATCTTCAGTTCAGTCGTCATTCACTTCGCATCCGTTTATTCGTCTCTCTAAATACACTCGTCCCGTTCTTTCAGGCCCGATAGGAAGAACGACGCGACGAAATCGGCGCTGGGGAATGGCCGAATACGATTTCTCTCCGCGATTAACGAATTAATCCGCGGCCTTTGGAGCGTCGGTGGCAGACGATTGCTTAACGCCCGGCTGAAATAGTTTGGCAATACGATAGCTCGATCGCTCAGCGATTACCGGGTACAAACCATCGAGGTACTCGAGTGGTACGCTACGCGGAGATCGATAAGAATGCTTATCGCGGCCGATGCTCCGTTTTGCGGCTATTAGAAAGGAACCGTAAGAATACTCGAGCAATCGAAGAGCGAAAAACGCGATCGGGATCGGTCTC